ACAAATTTACTACCAAAACAAACAATATCTACTCAAACGTATCATCAATTACCTAAAATAACAAATAATAGAAACGATAGATTAATGCCATCAGTATCAACTGCCAGTAGTATAGAAGATGTAGCAAAAATAGATACAGAACTTAATCTTACAATACTTTTACGAGAAAGTCCAGATCAAGCAAGTCCAATATTATATTCCAAAGCAACTATGAATCGTACTGTTGAATTTCGAACATTATCATCAAGAAAAGATCGATCAATATAAGAAAATATTATTTTATAATCTTTTATTTATTTTTTATGATTGGAATGAATTTGATCAACAACTTCTTTTTTATCTCAGGTTTGTGTCGCGTCAACTTATACTATTATTTTACTTCATAAATACATGCATTTAATAGAAGAGAGATTTATATTTTCATTATAAAGTGTCACTTGAGATATGTCCACCTGAATAAACAGAGTAAGAAAATCAGATCTAGACGATTAAGAAAAGAAATACTATGTAACAATGTCATATGATTGTTTTTTTCTCGAGCAAAAGTATATAACGAGTTCTTTTAGAATTTAATTATCTTAAATAGAATAACAAAACGTTCATAATCAGTAAAAAATAACGATGCCATATATATATCTTACGGCAGTAAATTGAGCTTGTTCAAAGTGAATGCAGAAAACAAATAATTGTAGAAGAAGAAAAAAAAGAAAAGACCGAACGAAAAAAAGAAAAAGAAAAGTATTACAACCTTTAACCAGGTGAAGTAGTGAGGTTTTTATTTCAATTTATTTTTTAATTTTTTTCTATACGAACAATGTTTTTCATTCCATTAGGTAGAGAAGAGTAATATAAAAAAAAAGTATAATTTATTTTCAATCCGAACATCAGAAGATCATCGACAAAAACAAAAATAAAGTACATTTTGTTTTTTTTGTGTCAAGAAATAAATCACTTCTTCTTTTATATTATAGTTACATTCTGCATTAACGATGGTTGATGAACATACTTATAATATAGATTCCAATATTCCTCATTTTATACCAAAGAAGAAAGAAAATATTCGAGTTTTTGTACAACGAAAACGTTCATCATTCCAATCAAATAGTTTTAGAAAATTCATTTCAACTACAGAGAAACAATTAAATATGAATAAAAAATATTTTCGAAATAATAAAAATACTATTCTTATTAATTATAAGCCAATATTTATTAATTCTGATCAACAGAAATCAATACCAACATATTCATCAATAAAAAATAATTTACCTTCATCAACTGTTAATAATATGATGACAACAACACCACCACCAGATTCTGATAAAATTAATCGTACATTGAATCAACAATCAGTTTCATTTGATGTTCCTGATACTGAAGATCCATTTGTATTTATTGAAAGTATGTATCAACAATTATTTACTGAAGATGGACAATTACGTAATGGAACTGAACCAGCTGTATTAGCTGATTGTGTTAAACAAATTGTAACACATTCAAGAAGAAATTCTATAGTACATCGAGATCCAATATTTTCAAATGTATATCAACGAAAATCTTCAATGCCATCTAAGAGAACATCTGTATCATCTTCAATTCATTTGATACCGGATATATTTAGTGAAGAAGAAGAATATGATGAAGAACAAGAATCTCATATAACACAACAAAGAAATAGACTTGCTAATACATCTCAACGGTAATTACTTTTAGATTTTAAACTCAAGATCTATTTTTTTTCTTTGTAGAAGTTCAAAACATTCAATTATAGATCATAATGACCATCATCAACAACTTCATGCATTTGTTAATTCATATTATCAGAATCAGAGACAAACATCAATAGATCATAATAGAATTAAATCTGATAATCATCTTTCAGTTGATGATACTGATAATGAAGATCTTGATACATTTTCTGATTTAAACTCTTATCGTAAAACAATTCGTAATTCTCCACATTTAAGTATGAATGATGATACAATACATACAGATTCGAAATTGTTATCATCTGGTTATCAGTCATTAAGATCAAATAAACCAAATATATCTAAGATAGATTTAAAAGTTGATCAACATTGTTGTTCAGATTGTTCATCTACATCACAAACTTCAATAATATCTCCAATACGAGATATGGTTACGAAATATGTTAACTTTATATTTATTTCAAAAAATATTCTTATTGTACCTTTATTGATCTTTTTCCTACGTCAACGATCAGTACTTACAAGTAATTAGAAAAAGAAGAAAAAAATCTTATTCGTCTAAGACGCACACATACTTAGTTTCTTATTCTAAATATAATTATGAATTTGTCGTGTTTTTTTTTTCTTTTGTATATTTATTTAATGATATATAACTGATGAAAATAAA